CTCCTCTTCTTATTGTAGGTGTTTTAATATATATTTGTGAAGGTAAAATGTCCACAAATATCAAAGGCTGACATGGTTTCAATAATACAGGAGAACAACCTTTGTTTTCTTCACATTTCTTTCTTAGAGAAATGCAAGTCTTTGTATTATGAAATACAAAGAAGTGCATGAGCATATGAATTACAACTAAATGGAGATGTGAAATATTTTGGAAAACAGAAGATGATATAAAGTACAATGAGTTAGGCACAAAAGTTACCTGAAGTTTGTTTGTGTTGGAGTAAACTCTAGCAGCGTTATGTTAGTAAGTACTGTAGTTAAGGGGAACTTGTTATCATCCAAAAACTGCAAGATTCCATCTGTACTGAAGATTCCTTCTATAAACCACATCAATGATATGAATAGTGATATGTTATTAAGCAATGCAATGCTACTGAAAATCAAGTCTATATTAAAAAATAACAGCAATGTTCCTAGAGATCAGGGAATAAAATAGCCATTTAATCTTTCTAAACTTTTAGCCATCCAATGAATAAGCAGTTGTATATTTAACTTCTCAGCTGCACGCATACTCAGGAACAACCATCTATCATGAGAGAATAATAAGCAGGAACAACCATCTATCATGAGAGAATAGTAATGCTTGAGAAATGAGGTGGTGTAAAATGTAACTCTAGAATCTAAAAATAGGAAACCTACCATGTTCAGTGTATTTCTCTGGCTCACTTTTAACTAGACCAAGGAAAAGATCCCATAAACGAAGGGGATCAGTCCTAAGAGAAACAAATGTTCCTAAAGAAACAAAACAGTGAACTACTCTTAAACAGATGCACTCACAGGTCATGCATTAAGACAATGTTCAGAGAGAAGATATAGGAATTTGTATTCGACTGAAGAAATCTATTCGGAATTACAAGTGAACGATTGTTTACCTTTCAAGACTAACAGAGCACGCTTGAAAGTGTCTGCAGATATTAAAACTGATCCAAATATATAGCCATGTGCAACTAATTCTTAAAAAGATTTCTATCTAACTAAAATAAATTAGTAATTGCAAAAGAACCACTGAATTATTATCTACTGTAAATGGATCATATTATAGTGTTTTGTGTGTGTCTAAGGAATCGATCATATTTTCTTACAATCAAATTAACTCGAACTCACAAAAGATGTAAGAAGCAAAATAACTAATACAAATTACCTCATGTGGGGTTGTACATAGAAGGTAGAAATAGTGATAGTTCCATTTGAGTTTCAAACTTAGCTAACTTGAGATCTTTCAAGAGATACATTCTTATAGTTGCACCATATATTCGTCCATTCCTATCAAACTCAATCACCACAAATTTATCAAAAAAGCGGTAAAAATAGATTGTAATTAACTTTTAGAAGGTTAAAGATGCAACTGAGTTCTTACAGATTCCATATATAGAAGGTAGATACAATGATAGTTCTCTTTGGGTTTGAAACTTTACAAACTCGAGATCTTTCAAGAAGAAACATTCTTATAGTTGTACCACATATTCTTCCATTCTTGTAAAATTTAAGCTCGACAAATTTAGCTAAATGACTATAAATAACAGTCTTGTGCATCTTAAAATTTACAAAAACATCTGTAAATAACATATTGTAAGTTGTAAATAATAGATTGAATTTAATTTTGCTAACTGAATGTACTAGTTACAAAATCACAAGTTGTGTGCATTTTATGTTTTTCTTACCGTTTATATTTTCTTATTCTATTTTGATGTGTTCTCCAAGGTTATGGCACCTAGTAAGCAATGGATGCAGCTTTCTCTTGATAATCGGGTCGACTAAGCCTATTTAGATGGGGTGAAAAAGTTTTTGGATTATGATTTTCAGGGATCAAGGGAAGAAGATAAAATACAATGTCCATGTTACAAATGTTGTAAAACAAAATTAGGAACTCGTGAGATGATTGATGGAGGAGCTGCCCACACTGGTTTTGCTGACCAAGTAAGTACCAATTTACCAAATTCTATTTGCAGATAGTCATTTAAGCATTTAGTGTATGGCTGAACTCTTAGATGATTGATCATGCTTAAAGGAATTTCTTCACCCATTAATTGTACTTTTTGCAACATAAACTCCATAGTAGTTTAAGAATTGCTGTTCTATTCCAACAGTAATGCCTAGAATATTAAGTCCACCTGATGTTTTATGCATACACACTTTATCCCATGCTATCATTGCTTTCTTTGTGACTTCCACTCCACCTGTCCACATAAAGGTTTTACATGTTTGTTCAATGAGTTTTATCACTTTTGTTGGCAGGACAAAAATATGTGACCAATACACTCTATGGAGAACAAAAGAGTTATACATATATAAATCCTTATACATATGCTGGGATACTGCCGATTTTGTTGATAAAACAAAGTTATTTTATACATATGTTCCGAGTTATTTTAATGTTTGTGTCGTTTCTTCTCTAGATAGAAATTGAAAAACTGATTTGCATTCAGTTTTAGCCTTTTAGCAGCTACAACAGTAGTAATAGCTACCACCTCTGAAATGCTTCAGTTGTTCCGAGTTATTTTAATGTTTGCGTCGTATCTTCTCTAGACAAAATTTGAAAAACTGATACGCATTCAGTTTTAGCCTTTTAGATGTCTTCGAAATTGTTGCTTCTTGTGTGCTAGCATATATAAGTAACAGAGTCATTACACTCAACCATATACAGAATCTCTCGGCCCCTATATACACTCAACCATATATAAATTCTGCTTTGTCCACTAAGAATAAGATTACAAGATAAAAATGTCAAGAAAGAAGCAGTAACAACATTGTAGCCTCACAGTAACAACATCCTATCCGTATACAGAATTTCTCAGCCCCTATAAGACTTATCCCTTTTGAATAGACTTTTATCAATGCAGGAAGAACTTTGACATCACTCTCAGGGTTATTAATAGAATTTTTTGATATCTGTTGCTACTGTACATCAAGTTTCCCATCCATATAAAGAATCTCTTGGCCTAAAGTCCAGCAAAACAGAGATTTGAGTTGCACCTTGATCTGGTTTAGAGGATCAAGTAACTCGCTAAATCTGTATCATTAGAATTGCTTAACAGATCATTGCCTTCTTTATCTCTATTTTTCTAATCTTCTACACATACAATTGAAGGCACACAGTTTGAGACTGTTTGGCTCCTACAAGGATTAATGATGAGAAGAAAACAGTGATAGCTTGTTTGTTTCCCCTGCTACAATAATAACCTGCTAGTTTATATATGAAACAGTGATATATCATGCTTGTTTAGTTACTCTGCAACAACTTGTTTCCCCTAAAACATAATATAATCTTCTTGGTGGAGAATTTCTCCATTTGTGCTAGCTTATGTCACTGAATTTGTGCTTTCGGTATAGATTTGGATTCTTGGTGAATGCATCTCATCAAAGTTTTCGTAATAAATTTTTCTTATGTTCTTGCAGCTTGTTGATATTCTGGATAACCCTTGGTTAATTTTAGAGTTGTTTTGTGAAGAATGAAGCTACAAGTCAAGATGCAAGTTTAGAAGATGCACACGACCATTATTATTTTTCTAGGAAAGTTGTGCAAAACAAGAAATCATAGTCTAGCTCGGGATATTGTTAATTTGCTAAAAAAAAATTGTTAATTAAATGTTGAAACAAACACCATGCGATGTTTACCTATTTTTATATTTATATCAGCCTTTTGTATGGAGATTTATCGTAGCGATCTTATATTTATTGGTAGAACTTATAATACTTTTGTAAAATGAAGACCCAGAATCATCGGTGGTCAATTAGAGACCAAAAATTTTGCTCGTCTCTAAAAGTTTCATCTAGGATTAGAAAACTTCTTGTCCCTAACGGTTCATCTAGGACGAGGTGTTGCTTGTCTTGAAAAACAATCTAGGACGACGTGGTTGCTCGTCAAGAAAACGTAATCTAAGATGAGGTAGTTGCTCATCCCTAAAGAGTAATCTAGGATGAGTTAGTTGCTAGTCTCTAAAGGGTTTAATGACCAGAAAATGACTAGTTTTTAAGGAAGAAAATATCTATTTGGGACGAGATATGTAGTCTCTAAACATAATTTGGTGACCAGTTTTGATTCCGTCATTAAACACATTTAGCGACCAGTTAATAGAGCCCGTCCCAATTAACCTTTAGCGAAGAAGCATTTTAGGACGGGTGGCGACCAGCCTTTTCCCGTCTCAAAAGACTATTTGGGACCGGATTTTGACTTTCTAGGACCATATTTCCCTTCCTTAGAGACTGTTTTTCTTGTAGTGGTGTTTAGCTTGCGGTAGTCAATACACACTCTCCAACCAGTCACCGGCCTCAATGGAACAAGCTCAATTTTAGCGTTTGGAACCACTGTGATTCCCCCTTTCTTTGGCACACACTGAACACGACAAACCCAATTACTATCAACAATGGGATGTGACTCTAGCATCCAACCATTTAATGATCTTCTTTTTCACAACCTTTTGCATAAGAGGATTTAGTCTCTTTTGGTGCGCAATACTTGACTTATTGTCTGGCATGAGTTGGATTTTGTGAGAACAAATGCCTAGTGGAATACCAATAATATCTGCAATAGTCCATCCAATGGCCCTTTTGAACCTCTTCAGTACCGAAACCAAATCCTCAACTTACTCTTCGCTCAAATCAACATCAATGATTATCGGTAAAGTGCGATCTTTCCCCAAGAATACATACCTCAAGTGGGATGGTAGAGCCTTGAGTTATAGTTTTGGAGACTCTTCTACAGAAGAATTTGCAGGTGGGGAGTCGCGATTCTTCATATCTAACTCCAATCTTTTTGGTTTGGAATGTAATTCAAACCTATCAAGTGAGGCAACTAATTCATCATAGTCTTCAATACCATCACCATGAAAATTCATCATTACCACTTCATGTGCATCAATACCCAACCTCTCTTCAATAGACACTACAGAAGATTGCTTTAAGATTGCTTTCCTGCTTCGTATACCTACATATATTAAAAGTCACCTCCTCATATTCAGTCGAAACTTCATGTGCCCTCTCTCCATATCGACTAAGGCACTCCCAGTAGCAAGAAATGGTCTCCCAAAGATAATGGGAACCTTAAAATCAACCTCACAATCAAGTATCATAAAATCCGCCGAAACGATAAATGACTCCACTTTCAAAAGTACATCTTGGAGAACACCAATGGGCTTCTTCGTAGTTCTATCGACCATGAGTAGACGCATCGCAGTCAGTTTTGGAACCCCTAAACACAACTTCTTGTAGATGGACAATGGCATCAAATTAATGTTGGCACATAAGTCACAAAAAGCTTTCGCAAAGTGTAACATCCCAATGGCACAAGGAATAGTGAAAGCTCCAAGATAATCTTTCTTTTGCACAAGTGACCTAGTAGCAATGGCACTACAGTGTTTCATCCTCTCATCATTCTCAAAACTAACAGCCCTCTTATTGGTCACCAAGTCTTTCATAAATTTTGTGTACCTAGGCATTTTCTCTAAAGATTCTATCAACGAAACATTGATGGACAGTTTCTTTAACATAGCTATGAACCTGCGGTATGTACCCTCTTCAGTCTTCTTCACCAGTCTCTGTGGGAATGGAGGTGGAGGTCTAGGCATAGGAACAACCTTTTGGGTCACCTCAACTTCCTTTTCAACACTATCTTTTGGGACTTCAGTAACCTCAATCTCATCGTCATCCTTCTCTATCACCCTTTCAACCTCAGACGACATGGGGGGATCAATGTTCTGCCTTCCTGCGCGAGTGGTGACTGTCATTCAATTCCCATTATTTTTTGGATTCTCGATGGTGTTGCTAGGAAGTGTGCCAGGCTGATGTGGATTTATAACTGGCTAAACTTCTACTCAAGTTTCTTAATCGACACTGCATGGGCATCAACTTTTTGACTAATTCCAAACTAGTTATTTCGCATCTCCTTCACATTCTCATGAATTGTATCAAATTTCTTCATCATCTTTTGCATCATATCCTCAATTCGTGAGATAGTGTTACTAGATTCTCTATTACTAGGAAGGACATAGGGACCAACCTTATCATTTTTGTTGCCATAGTTGTTCTGGTTGTAATTGTTATCACGATTATAGTTCTCTTCCCGGACATAGTTACCCTCACGGTTGTAGCCTCCACAGTCCGACCTTTGTTTCCTTGACCTTTGTGCCAATTATCCAAGTTGAATCCTTGGGTGTTGGTTCGGAAACCTCCCGTCTAATAATTCACCAAATTCACATTCTCCTCATAGTAGTACTCCTCAACTGGTGGTGGTGGAGGTCTAGTCAGATAATTCACAACATTCACTTTTTATGCACTACCACACATGTTTTAGTACCAAACCCAATTATGTCCTCATGTAGGCCATCTCTTTTTGAATGTCATCATTATCTTTGTTGGGTGCAGTCTGGACCGCGAACGTGCTCTTACAAGTATTTGACTTTCTACTGCTCGAGGTGCACTCACAACATGATCCTTCGGCAATAGTATCAAGGACAACTCTTCCATTGTTATCTTTCCCTCTATAGAAATACTCCTTCAACGACTCATCAAAAATGCGGTGATTTGGAACATTTCTGATGAACCCAGTGAACATATCCAAAGAACTGTTGATTAAGACTCTTGGTAGTGTTGCTAAGTTGTTCAATTTATCCTTATGAGTTAGCTTTTTGGACACCGGAAAGTACCTTATTGTGAACACCTTGTGCATTTGGTCCCATTTCTCGATCAAGTTATATGGTAGCTCAGAAAACCACACCATAACATCACCAGTTAATGAAAGTGAGAAGACCCTCAGACCTATGACATCCATATCTAAGTCTGGTTTCCCAACACAACTCTTTCAAACAATGTACAATTTAGCCATATGAGCGTAGGGATCCTCCGAAGCCAACCCATCAAATAACCCTCTCGATGTAAGCATGTGTATCAGACTACTGGTTACCACAAATATATGACCTGGAGGTAGAGGAGGGAAAACAATAGGTTCATCTGATCCGATTGCATCATAATCAGCCCTGTAGTGTCACGAAACCTCGGTACTGGTGGATTTTGTACCCTTTCGACATTTCTGTTTACAAGATAACCATGAATCTAAGCAGGCACATTAATGACTCCAGGCTGTTGGAACCCAGCTCCATCTCCTTGACCCTCTTCATCTGGATTATTTTGTACCCCTTATTTATTATTTTTTCTTAAAGTGTTATTTAACTCTGGATCGTAAGGGTTCAAGGGTTCGGCTCGACTCCGTGTACTTGTCATACACTGGAGCAAAATCTTCTAGAAAACAAAAACAAAACTAAAACGTAAAAACATGAAATATTAGACTAAAGTTCAACAATGTAGTTAGTTTAATCTAAAAGCCTTGTTCCCCAACAGCTGCACAAAATTTAATACACTCAAAATACACCTCCCTAAAGAAGTATAAGCGATCGTTGTCAAATAAAGAACCCAACTTGTAGGTTGGGGTCGATCCCACTAGGAATATGGTCTAGACTTAAACTTAACTAACAATTATATCCGTTTAGTCAAATTATTTCCAAGAAAGTAAACCGGGGGGATTTTGTAATTAAGTAACAAATTATTATGCTTAAGTAACAAGTAGACAAGATTCAACCTTTGAGTTATCAATATGAGAAAGAAACTAGGGCTTATGTGTTCCCCAAAAGCTCTTAAAGCAATAATCCTAATAATAGTAATCTGTTCCTAGTGTTTAACATGCAAAGTTGGTAAGTTAGGTATCCCTAAGTGATTGGTCCTTCAAGAAGGGAATTTCACCATGTAACTTTGTCCGTCTATGGGTGTATGCTTTACTAACCCTTACCTTTACACCAGATTAGTCGGCATATCAAAGTAGTTTAGTTTTCACCCTCACTCCAATTGACATCAAACTATTAGATATCATCCACTAAGTCTCTGTTGTTTAATCCTTTTCTAATTCAATACCTCCTTGGTCTGGCAAGTAAGAACGAGGCGAGTTCCAACGCGTGCACTCGTTAAAAACACTTCTAAGCGAAAGGATTAACAATACATTCATGCACACTAGTCAAGAATTACTTAATTATTATTCATACTTTATTCATTGCTCATGATTCCCACAACCCTAGTTGTGGATATAGCTACTCACGCTTGAAAGATCACAATTCATGACTAGATTGGAAGAATTCATGAACTTACCTGTAGAATTGATGAAACCGGAAATATTCAATTAAATTTCAAACAGAAAATTGAATAAAACGAAATCTGAAAAGTTAATTGCGAAGAGTTTGCAAAATAATTCCTAAAGAACAAAAATTAGAAGTTTATAATAATGTCTAACACCCAAAAATGTGGTTTAAAACTCCAATTTGTAGAAAACAAATCATAACTTATAAGGGAAACAAAATAAGGAAATAAATTGCTGGAACGCAGTTTCTGTCTACGCCTTGACATACGGACCGTGGGTCGACCTATGGTACGTAGGTCCTCTTCCGTGGTTGAACACGTAGAAGAAGAAATCAGGTACTAGAACTTCAACTTTCATACCTCCAACGACGGATGTGTAGGACGGACCGTAAGTCGACCTACAGTCCATCATTTGCTCCGTGGAGCCACACTTGGTAAGACTTCCCTGATCTTCCACCTATGTTTGCCCACCTACAGTCCGTATATTGGACTACGGTCTGTCCTGTCAGTCTGTGGTTTGAGTTCTGAAACTTAACTTCCAGACCAAGACCTACGACTGCCCATCCACATCCCATCACTTGACCTAGGGTTCGTGGTTGGCCCCGTTGGTGGCCACTTCTGGACTTTTCATCTCGCATCTTCATCAACCGCATCCAAGCCTATTTCCTGCAAGATATATACACAAAACATTAGTTCGAATACAAAATAGCCCCAGACACACACAAACTCTCAGTGAAATGCATCAAAAATATTGTAAACTCATGGTATATCAGTCCACCCATAGCCCGTCAGAGTGGTCTCATCGTTGAGCAAAATTGGGCAGTTTTGGTGGTTAAGTTGAAGGGTACTTTAGGTCTTTCTGGTTTTAATTAGGATTAAGCGTTGTCATTTTACCCTAATCTAGACCACCTATATAACGAAGTTTTAGACCCCTAAAATAAGTCATTTAATTAATTCTTTCAACTCACCAAAAATAAACCCAATTCTCTCCCAAATACTATATCTCTTCTTTGTCCAAGCTAGGTCGAGTCCTCCAATCTTCAAAGATTTATGAGGGCTTTACAGGCAAGGTATGATAGCTCTTAATCCATGGACTTATTCCATCCATGGAGTCCCCTAGAACTCCCTAATTTGGGGAAGAATTCCCCCAATTCAATTTAGGGTTTCTTCATGTTGTGGGTTATGATGTATGTTGATCAAATTGCATTGATATTGCCTGTTTATGATCGAATTAGTAGTGAATCTTCTTTTTATGATGAAATTACATGTTTTCCATGCCTAACCCTTGTCTAGAAAGATGAAATTGAAGTATGTGGGTTTTGTGCTTTGAAAGGGGAAATTGAGGATTTAGAGATAGTCTTCTAAGATTGATGATATGTATAGTAATTGCTTGAGAGTAAAAGCATATAGACATGAATTGAATTAGATTAAAGTATATATGAAGGATAATGATTAGTAATGCTTGAGATTGAGCCTATATGATGAAATATGATTAGAATTGATTAAGAATGAAGCATGTGATTAGAATGTCTTGAGATTTAGGCATATGTGATGATTGTAAGAAGTAAAGCTTTGACATTGAGGCTTGTAGTTATGAATGTTGATTACTAGGGCTTTGAGAGTGAAGCTTATATAATAATGATACACTAGCAGATAGAATTGTTGTGGAAGGACTTTACCCACATAATCTATCTTATGAATGTATGAATGTGCAAGGCTTTCTCACATTGAATGATTCTAGGTGGAAAGGTCTGCTCACCTAAGATGAATCAAAGTATGTTAATTATGATAGCTTGAAGTTTTTATATGGTGTCCCTTCATGAATAAACTTGACTTTGTAAGATAAGACCATGCATGTTAGCTTCAGTAGTACATCTCATGGATAGCCTTGGATTGAGAAATTGTACCTTTCCTAAGGTTAGCTGGAACTAGCATGAGATTATGCTTGCATGATAGCATGACTTGGTCAGGCCAAACTGTTTCATTGGTAGGTTGGATTGAGCAATAGTACCCTTCCTTGAGTAGCTTGGACTTGCATAAAAGTGTGTTTTCCATGATAGCATGGTCTGGCATGATGAGGTGCTTTTCCTTGATAGCCTTGAATTGGTAAATAGTAACCATTCATGAGTAAAATATGTATTGAACTAGTAAAGAAGTACTTTTCCATGATTAGTAGATATAGCAAAAGAGGGACAAGTCCCTACTCAAAGTAGCATGTTTATGATGAATCAAGGTTACTTCAAAGAAGTATCGTAAAAATGTTTTTTTATATGAGATTTTCGTATATGATGTATGCTTAGCTTGGATTGTTGCTATAGTTTCCTTCCTTGATATGTTTGACTAAAGGTGAATGTTCCCTTTTCTATTAGAAATAAGCTAAGGATGAGATCAAAATATGACGAATATGAATGATAGCCTATACTAGTTTACTTGGCGTGGTTGAGATTTTGGGGTCTTATCCATGCATTGCACAAGTATGCTTGGAGGTTACTTATGAAGTGTTTCTCTTATATTATGTTGACCTAGATGCATTGATTATTCCTATGACTATTTTGTTATCTCTTATGCTTATGGCTTCTATCTTAGGCTTGCTAATGCTTATGTTATGCTCTTGATGACATTATGCTAGCTATCATATTTAGTACTTAATTGTACTAATGCCTACTATTTCCTACATTCTTATCAAAGGTAGGGTCCGGCGATATTGAGTTCGATCCCCGTGGCTAAGATCATAGTAGAGACAGGATTGAAGCTTTGGTAAGTCTTGATAGTATTTGAGGAGATAGCCACCATGTTCTTATGTTGTCTTTCATTTTATCTTTAGAACTATCTTATTGGTTGTTGATTAACATTTCAAAGACAATTCATCCAATTCTAAGTGTCAACGATCGTTAGTTAGTATATCACCCAACCAACTGTGTTGGGTCGATCCCACATAGAGTAGCTTTCTTTTGAATTCAAATACGAAAGTATGACGATGACCTTTGCAGCTGAGCAACACAACACTAATGAGTTTAACAATCAAATTTCAGGATGTTCTTACCAACCCACTTCAAATGATCAACAAGAAACAATCAGATAACTCGAAAACACTTGTGGGATTGACTAACCAACTGCCAAATTTAACTTAATGGGTGTTCATGATTACCGATAATGTTAATTCGTCGTGGGTAGAATGGACAATAAGTAAGGCAACTTTCTCTCGAACAATAACCTTATTTCGTTGAATTCTCTCGAACCTCAACACTACCCATAAGACGACCAGCCCATGTTCTTATCAAATCCACTCTTTCAAGCTAGATACAAAGACTGGATCATGGGTTTCACTTTCTTAAGCTGAAACCGTCATGACCCACTATTAAGGATGCCAAATTACTATGTTGGTTATGTACTTCTCTCTCGAGCAAGTACAAAACTCTGAAATCTATTGCACAAATTATGCAATAATGAAGTTAAACCACCATAATAATTCAGATGCGCTTCAAATTAACACTAAAAATCATTAATCGATAACACCCATTTAGTAAAATGCAATAATTGGTCACATTGTCCAACCCCAAGGTTAGGGTTTTAGCCAATCATAGTGAAAAGATGAAATTCAATACCTATCACGTTTTCCATAGCTGGGTAAATGAAATTTGAAAGTTAAAATTAACTAAAATCTTCTCTATTACAAAACCCAAATGAGAAAACCTTACTAAAATCACTTGGAATTAACAATGGTAGTGGTTTTTCTCTCAATCTTTTGTTCCTCACATTTTGTAAATGCTTTCTCTCTCATGCAAAAATCAATTTAAACAAAATCTGGTGTGACTTTTTTGGGGCCACTCGGTGAGGTAAGTCGGGCTTCGCTGACCGTTCGGCGACTCGCCGATTGTCCTTTTACCTCGCCTTCCTGCTTCACATCTTCTTCATTCGACCACTATAATTTTAGGTGAGCCAACTCAGGATCACCATTTCATTCCACTATGTGCCCTTCTGTCTTTTATCTCGCCCATCTGTGATTATCTGGGTCTCCATCGGTACTTTCAGTGACCTGGTCATCCATCGCAGATTCGGTCGGTGTCACATCGAGTGGAGCTGTTGCTTGCTGAAGTTATTCCTAATCTATCCTCAGTGTTGTGTAACTTTAGGCGGTAGAGGGGCAACTTGGCGAGTCGCTGAGTGACATCGGTGATCATCAGTTTTCGCTTGTGTTGACTTTATTTTCCATTTCTGTCCTAGCTTTGTTCCTCAATCCATATATATTAAAATAAATGATTTTACATCAATTATTAGCACAAAATAAGCATTTGAGGACCCTAAATCATTGTAACTATAGCCCTAAATGAGTCCAAATCTCGAACACATCAACACCCTCAACTTAAACTTTTGCTTGTCCTCAAGTAAGACTCAAGTTTCAGCAATTCAAAAGGGATGTCTCAAATAGTGCTACACAAGACTCAATCATGAATGCACACAACAAGACTCAACTTACCAATGGAAGGATCAATTGTTCACTCAAAGATTAAAGTTGTGACTCACTATTATCAAAGATTCTCAAGATCACAATACTTTCTTCAAATGCAAGTTCAAGCTCAACAAAAGGTACTCAAATGCCCTCCCACAAAGAATGATTCCATATTGACACATTATTTTACAATAATTTAAAGCTCCAGAATCACATAAAACTCACACTTACAAAGATGAACACATGCATGACTTCACCCATAGGTTTGCCCTTATTTTCCAACCAACATTCGTTTCAGCCCACTCAAGATCAAAATGGTCTTTTCAAGGCTTGTAATGGGGCTGAGTGTAAATGTATGGTCATTTAGGATCAGTGGCTGCTATACTCATGAAATGTGGTATGAACAACACTTTCTTTCCTTTTCTTCAACAGTTTTACTCAAGCTCAAAAGTCAGCCCATTATTCACTTCTCATGGAATACCAAACACCCCATTTCTTTTGCAATTTAACAACTTTATTTCAAAACTTTTTCGTTGTTTTTCTTTTTCTTTCCCCCTTTTTTTTGTATGGAGGGGTTCCATATTTTTCACAACCATGGATCAAAGGGGACTTCTTTTCACTTCTTGATTTACCTTCTCTTTACACCACACCCCTAACTTAGGCTTTTGGCCTAAGTTGACTATTCAAACAAGCCACACTTCAGGAGGATTATAGGTGAATGGATAAAGAGGGGTTACAATTTCATCAAGTTTCTTCCAAGAAACGGATAAGGCTCAAAGGGGGTTCAAGCAAAGTTCACACTTTCAAGGTAGGCTACAAGACATGTATAATGTCAAATTGTTTCACTCTTCAAAATTGTTGCCTAAAATCATTTCAAAAGCTTGCATCACTTAGTCAACCGGACCAACAGGGAAAATTCTAGGTGTTATCACACAAGGTTCACGGTAAGCTCATCACATAAGGCATTGGCACCAATGTCAAACAAGACTCCACACTTTCACTAGTGTGCAATGTTCATCACAAGAGACTTATTCGATGATCGGCTAGTTACAATGAGCTGCACAAAGTTCACACATTGTCTATGCAACTTCATTTGACCTCATTGTAGCCGTGCATTCATTTTTGTCCAATTGAGACGACTATTCAAGTCATCGGTATTGATCATAACCGATACTCAAATAAATAACTTTTCCAAACGAGCTAGGGGCATACTGACCAAACACACACCCCCACCAAAAGCATTATTTATTGTCCTCAATGTGATTAGAGAACAAACAATACCAAAATTGACAAATAACAATAAACTACTGATATGTAAATACGCAAAGCAAGGTGACAAGGAATCTTCACTAGGAGCCCATTTGCGGGAAGTTGTATCAGTTGCCGAACTACTCAGTGACTCGCCCACTGATCAGGGTATCACCGTTATTTCTAGTATGCACCACATTCAGGAAGGGGTGAAAGGGCATAGTTGAAAGAGTTCACCGAACCGGTCGGTGCTTTGCATAATGGACTTGCATCTTTGCCGAATGATCCATTGGGTTAGGCCATTAGAGCTAGGCAAAATGGCGGAGAAAATCGGGTCGCCCAATCACTTCGGTGAATCACCGAGTGACGAGGGTCCCGCCTAAAATTCTTGCATCGCAGCTCCATTTTCAAAGTTCAGAAGGCGGACTAGGTCGGGTTCACCAAACCGATCAGCGATCTGCCAATGGTTTCTTCACCTCGCACAATTGCTCGGACATACAAAATTAGCACACATTATTTGAAATACTAACACTTGGGTTTCCTCCCAAGAAGCGCCTTATTTAATGTCGTGGCACGACATGGAAATGCTCTCAAGCATCTTCCAGATACACCACTTCAATAAGAGAAATCTCTTGGCATTCACCAAAATACAATTTTAAGCGTTGCCCATTCACTTTGAATGTAGGTCCTTCTTTACCTTCGATTTCAATGGCACCATTTCTGAACACCCATGTTACTCTGAATGGACCTGACCAATTGGATTTGAGTTTTCCTGGAAACAACCTGAGTCAAGAATTATATAGCAAAACTCAATCTCCTACTCTAAATTCCTTCCTAAGGATTCTAGAATCATGCCACTTCTTCATCTTTTCCTTGTAAAGAGTTGAACTTTCATACACCCTGAACCTGAATTCGTCCAACTCATTCAGTTGATCCACTCTCTCTTTTAAATTCTTTGTCCAGTCCAGATTTAGAGCTTTCAATGCCCATAATGTTTTGTGTTCCAATTCAATCAGTAAATGGCAAGATGTTTCGAAGACTAGCTGATACGACGACATACCAATTGGTGTTTTGTATGCAGTGCGATACGCCCACAGAGCATCATCAAGCTTTCGAGACCAATCAGTCCTATTTGCATTCACCATCTTGGCTAGGATACTCTTAATCTCCTGATTCGACACTTCAACTTGGCCGCTCGTTTGGGGATGATACGGAGTTGCCACTTTGTGTTTCACTCTATATTTTCTCAATGCAGATGCAAAATACTTGTTGCAAAAATGGGATCCCCCCATCACTAATAATAGCTCTAGGAGTACCAAATCTAGAAAAGATGTAGCGTTTCAGGAATTGAACAACATTTTTCCATTCATTGTTTGGAAGTGCAACAGACTCCACCCATTTAGAAACATAATCTACTACCACCAAAATATACTAATGACCAAACGAACTCACAAATGGGCCCATGAAATCTATTCCCCTAACATCAAATAGCTCAACTTCTAAAATGGGCATAAGAGGTAACTCGTGTCTTTTGTACACTCCACCTTGTTTCTGACATTGAGTGCACTTCTTAACAAACTGATGAGATTATTTGTAGAGGAACGGCTAGTAGTAACCACTTTGAAGGACTTTAGCGGTGTACGTACACCACCATGATGACCCCCAACCGGTGAAGCATGACTAGCATGGAGAATTTCGATGGCTTCTTCCTCCGAAACACATCTCCTAATGATATGGTCTGTACACTCTCTGAATAAATATGGTTCATCCCAAAAGTACTTCTTAACATCGAACAATAACCTCTTTTATTGGTAGAAATTCAGTTCTTCCGGCATTAATCCACACACTACGTAATTAGCAAAACCAACATACCAAGGGGATTGTTGGAGAGTTACTGTGAATGCCTGTTCATCGGGAAAGGGATCATTTATGTCGATCTCCAGCTCATCATTTTCCTTGCCTTCTAATATCGATAATTGGTCAGCCACCTGATTTTCACCACCTCTCTTATCTTTGACTTCAAAGTCGAATTCTTGCAACAGTAGCACCCACCTTATCAATCTTGGCTTGGCATCTTTCTTTGCCATCAGATAACGCATTGTAGCATGATCAGTGTGAAGTACCACTTTAGTACCTAGAAAGTATGCTCAGAACTTTTCAAACGCATATACTACGGCAAGTAATTATTGCTCTATAACTTTGTAGCTACATTGAGGAGCGTTTAGAGTTTTGTTTGCGTAGTAAATGGGGTGAAATAGTTTGTTGCATTTTTTGCCACAACACAACACCCAATGTCGTGCCGCTTGCATCACACATTACTACAAAGGATTCTGACCAATCGGGACAAATGATGACTCGAGTGGAGATCAATTTTTCTTTCAAGAAATTTAAGGCCACTATGCATGCATCATCAAAATGGAATTTCACCTCCTTTACCCACAGTTTACATAGAGGATGTGCAATTTTAAAGAAGTCTTTGATGAACCTCCGGTAAAACCCGGTATACCCCAAGAAACTACGAATACCTTCACCAAAATTGGTGGTGGTAACTTCCAAATCACTTCAATCTTTGCTTTATCAACCTCCAACCCTTTTTGCGACACTTTGTGACCAAGAACTATACCTTACTTAACCAAGAACTGGCATATTTCCCAATTTAGGACCAAATTCGTCTCCACACATCTTAGAAGAACTTGTCCCAAGTGTGCCAAACATGCTTCAAAAGTGTCACCCACAACTGAGAATTCATCCATAATGACTTCAATTGAATCCTCCACCATATCAGCAAAAATAGACAACATGCAACGTTGAAATGTTGCCGGAGCATTACATAACCCAAATGGCATCCGTTTAAAGGCAAAAGTTCCATATGGGTAGGTGAAGGTGGGTTTTTCTTGGTCTTTCGGAGTAATGGAGATCTAGTTTTAACCGGAATACCCATCTAGAAAGTAATACCAACCTCTTTCTGAAAGTTGATCAAGCTTTTAATCCATGAAAGGCATGGGGAAATGATATTTTTCGGTCCACGAGTTTAACTTTCGGTAATCCATGCATACTCGCCATTCAGTCACCCGTCTCATAGATACAAGCTCCCCATTTTCATTTGGGTCTACTATGATTCCCCCATTTTTTGGTACACATTGCACCAGACTTACCCATTCGCTATTCGTAATAGTGTATATCACACCTGCGTCCAACCACTTTATCATCTCCTTTTTCACCACCTCTTGCATTGGTGGGTTCAATCTCCGCTGATGGTCAACACTTTGTTTACAATCACTATCAAGCTGAATTTTGTGAGTGCAAATGCCAGGAGAAATGCCACTATGTCAGCAATAGTCCAACCTATATATTTGATATGCCTTCTCAACAACTCAATGAGACATTTTACCTGCCATCCAAGCAAGTCAGCTGCAATGATCACCTGTAAGGTGTTATTTTCCCCTAAGAAAGCAATTCGGAGATGGGAAGGAACTACTTTCAACTCCATATTTGGTGGTTCTTCTGTTGATGGATTTGCGTGCCGACTTTCTCAGTTTTTTAGATCAATGTCCAACTTCAATGGAGTCTTTGACTACCCCTCATGCCTGAAAAAGCCGCTACTACCTCTTCGTAGACTTAAATTTGGAACTCATCATAGTTAGAAAGCACGGCTTCAAGTGGGTCACTCATACACATCAAATGGCTCACACTAGCCACTGCCTCTTCAATGACATCAACAACAGAGACCACATGAATATCGCTTGGGTGTATCATTGACTTACAAACATTAAAGGTTACTTCATCTTCGTTCACTCGGAACTTCAGTTCTCCGCTTTCAACATCGACCAACGCTCTCCCGGTTGCGAAGAATAGTCTTCCCAAAATGATGGGAATTTCAGCATTTATTTCAGAATCGAGAATGACAAAATCAGTCGGGAAAATGAATCGATCAACCTTTACCAAGATGTCATATATTATCCCTACGGGATGTTTTATTGATCGGTCCTCCATCAAGAGTCTCATTGTTGTGGCTTTCTGTTCACCCAAACCAAGTCGTTTATAGATTGCATATGGCATTAGGTTGATGCTTGCTCCCAAATCGCATTGGGCTTTAGCAAATTGGATCATGCCGATGGTGCAAGGGATGGTGAACGCTCCAGGATTTTTATTTTTTTTATCAGCTCCTTAGTCATAAATGCACTACAACTATGAGAAACTTCTATTGTCTCAAAATCCAAGATCCTTTACTTTTTGACTAACTCCTTCATAAACTTGGCATAACTCGACATTTCCAACAATGCTTCCACTAGAGGGAGATTAATCGATAATGTCTTGTACACCAATAAAAACATCTTGAACTTCTTATCCTCATTCTTCTTCTTGAGGGGTTGGGAAAACAGAGGAGATATTTTAGGTAAAGGTTGCATAACATTTGGGATTGGATTGTGTTTCTCCACATCTTTTTGCTGTCCTTTCGCAATGATTTGATGGATGGGTATTTCTTCTTCCTCTATAAATTTGTCTTCTTCATTCATTTGAGCTTTTTCATTGGCCGTCACATCGCCTATCTCTACCTTTCCACTATGAGTAACCACAGCCAACCCTCTATCATCATCTTCCCTTATCATATTTGGTTTCAATTGTGCTGACAGTAAACTCAACTGACCTTCAAGTGTCTTGATTGCATCTGGGTGAGAGTTCACTTTATTGTTTAATGATGAAAAATAAGCTTTCATCCCTTTTAACAAATCATTTGAACCTTCACTTTTATCAAGGATGCGTGACAACAAATCATTCACTCGGGTACTACTTGCACTCCCTTTCGACTTTGGGCTCTCACTCAATTTAGTGTTTCTCTCTTAATGGTCATCCTTTTTTTTTCAATAATCATTTCGCGCAGCCCATTTTTCATAGTATATTCTTTGGTCTTCCCCTTTGTAATAGTTCCAACCTTGATTCCCACCTCGCTGTAAATAGCGTGGGTGGAAACCCTCCTCGTATCTCTTTGAATTCCAACCTTGATTCTCCCTCGATTTTGAATAACCTGAGGAAGAACCCTCCTCAAATCTAAACACTCCACTTGTTCCCTTGGGATTTCGCACATTCTCCAACATATGCTCTTTTAGTAGCTCCATTTGGGTCAGCATCTTCTTGATTTTCTCATCCCTTTCTCTTTCCTTATCAAGTTGATCTTGTGTCATTCTAAAGCAAAAAGGAGAGATTTGATCCTCTTGAGTGTACCAAGCTTGATTTATTTTCGTCATGTCATCAAGAAGAAATGAAGCCACCTCAAATGATTGCAACATAATTTCCCCTCGTACCAATTGATCAGCCACTCCTTTATTAACTGAAGCAAGACTCCGGTAAAAATATTGGAGTAGCAAATCGTTTGGTAGCTCGTGAGTTGGGCATTGAAGTAAGAGTTTCTGAAACCTCACCCACGTTTCATGGATGGGTTCACCTTCCAATAACTTAAAACCTTGAATGTTATCCCTGAGTTTCATCATCCTCTATGAAGGGAAGAACCTTACATTGAATGTCGTGATAAGCTCATCCCATGACGTGATAGAATTCTTTGGTAGCTAGGCCAACAACATGCTAGCCTCTCCCGTCAGAGAAAGAGGAAATAATCTGAGACGGATTGATTCTTGTGGCACATTCTTGAATGAAAACAGGCTGCACACATCTATAAAATTCTTTACATGATCATGCGGATCTTCATGAGCCAGCCCACCATAAATTCCCTTCATTTGGAGTAGATGAAGAGTAGGGCTCGTGACCTCAAATGTGGAATTCTCATCAATTGATGGTAGGCAAATTGCACCCATTTCACCCCATTGGGTTGGGTTGTATGCACTTTTAACATCATCGATAGCATCTCGGGGGCCTGCTAGGCTACCATTCACCTCTTTCTTACTCATTTTAACTTCTATTTAGTCCAACCAACACCAACACAATGCAGTCTAATTCGATCAACTATAGCTTAGTCAGTATATAACCCAACCAACAGAGTTGGGGTCGATCCCACATAGAGTAGCGTTCTTTTGAATTCAAATGAGAAAGTATGATGATGAACTTTTTCTCGAATAATAACCTTATTTCCTTTGAGTTCTCTCGAACCTCAACACTACCCATAAGCCGACCAGCCCAAGTTCTCATCAAATCCACTCTTTCAAGCTTGATACAAAGGCTGGATCATGGGTTTCACTTTCTCAAGCTGAAACCGTCATGACCCACTACTAAGGATGCCAAATTAATACGTTGGTTCTATACTTCTCTCTCAAGCAAGCACAAAACTCTGAAATCTATT